AGGGCATACATGTAGTCGTCTGTTACAGCAAGCATACATGTAGTCGCCTGTTACAGCAAGCATACATGTAGCCGTCTGTTACAGCAAGCATACATGTAGTCGCCTGTTACAGCAAGCATACATGTAGTCGTCTGTTACAGCAAGCATACATGTAGTTGCCTGTTACGACAAGCATGCATGTAGTCGCCTGTTACCAGGGCATATATGTAGTCGTCTGTTACAGCAAGCATACATGTAGTCGCCTGTTACAGCAAGCATACATGTAGTCGCCTGTTACCACGGGCATACATGTAGTCCCCTCTTACGACAGGCATACATGTAGTCGCCTGTTACGACAAGCATGCATGTAGTCGCCTGTTACCACAGGCATACATGTAGTCGCCTGTTACCACAGGCATACATGTAGTCGTCTGTTACAGCAAGCATACATGTAGTCGCCTGTTACGACAGGCATACAGATAGTCGCCTGTTACGGCAGGCATACATGTCGTCGCCTGTTACAGCAAGTATACATGTAGTCGCCTGTTACGGCAAGCATACATGTAGTCGCCTGTTACGGCAAGCATACATGTAGTCCCCTCTTACGACAGGCATACATGTAGTCGCCTGTTACGACAAGCATGCATGTAGTCGCCTGTTTCCAGGGCATACATGTAGTCGTCTGTTACGACAGGCATACATGTAGTCGCCTGTTACCACGGGCATACATGTAGTCGTCTGTTACAGCAAGCATACATGTAGTCCCCTCTTACGACAGGCATACATGTAGTCGCCTGTTACGACAAGCATGCATGTAGTCGCCTGTTACGACAGGCATACATGTAGTCGGCTGTTACGACAGGCATACATGTAGTCGCCTGTTACCACAGGCATACATGTAGTCGTCTGTTACAGCAAGCATACATGTAGTCGCCTGTTACGACAGGCATACTGATAGTCGCCTGTTACGGCAAGCATACATGTAGTCGCCTGTTACGACAGGCATACATGTAGTCGCCTGTTACGGCAAGCATACATGTCGTCGCCTGTTACAGCAAGTATACATGTAGTCGCCTGTTACGGCAAGCATACATGTAGTCGCCTGTTACGGCAAGCATACATGTAGTCGCCTCTTACGACAGGCATACTTATAGTCGCCTGTTACGACAAGCATACATGTAGTCGCCTGTTACGGCAAGCATACATGTCGTCGCCTGTTACGGCAAGCATACATGTAGTCGCCTGTTACGACAGGCATACATTGAGCGCCTGTTACGGCAGGCATACATGTAGTCGCCTGTTACGACAAGAACATGTAGTCGCCTGTTACGACAAGCATGCATGTAGTCCCCTCTTACGACAGGCATACATGTAGTCGCCTGTTACGACAAGCATACATGTAGTCGCCTGTTACCACGGCATACATGTAGTCGTCTGTTACGACAGGCATACATATAGTCGCCTGTTACGACAAGAACATGTTGTCGGCTGTTACGGCAAGCATACATGAAGTCGCCTGTTACGACAAGCATGCATGTAGTCCCCTCTTACGACAGGCATACATGTAGTCGCCTGTTACGACAAGCATACATGTAGTCGCCTGTTACCACGGCATACATGTAGTCGTCTGTTACCACAGGCATACATGTAGTCCACTCTTACGACAGGCATACATGTAGTCGTCTGTTACGATAGGCATACATATAGTCGCCTGTTACCACAGGCATACATGTAGTCCACTCTTACTACAGGCATACATGTAGTCGCCTGTTACGACAAGAACATGTAGTCGCCTGTTACGGCAAGCATACATGTAGTCCCCTCTTACGACAGGCATACATGTAGTCGCCTGTTACGACAAGCATACATGTAGTCGCCTGTTACCACGGCATACATGTAGTCGTCTGTTACCACAGGCATACATGTAGTCCACTCTTACGACAGGCATACATGTAGTCGCCTGTTACCACGGGCATACATGTAGTCGTCTGTTACAGCAAGCATACATGTAGTCCCCTCTTACGACAGGCATACATGTAGTCGCCTGTTACGACAAGCATGCATGTAGTCGCCTGTTACGACAGGCATACATGTAGTCGCCTGTTACCACAGGCATACATGTAGTCGTCTGTTACAGCAAGCATACATGTAGTCGCCTGTTACGACAGGCATACTGATAGTCGCCTGTTACGGCAGGCATACATGTAGTCGCCTGTTACGGCAAGCATACATGTAGTCGCCTGTTACGACAGGCATACATGTAGTCGCCTGTTACGGCAAGCATACATGTCGTCGCCTGTTACAGCAAGTATACATGTAGTCGCCTGTTACGGCAAGCATACATGTAGTCGCCTGTTACGGCAAGCATACATGTAGTCGCCTCTTACGACAGGCATACTTATAGTCGCCTGTTACGACAAGCATACATGTAGTCGCCTGTTACGACAGGTATACTTGTAGTCGCCTCTTACGACAGGCATACATGTAGTCGCCTGTTACGGCAAGGATACATGTAGTCGCCTGTTTCGGCAAGCAAACATGTAGTCGCCTGTTACGGGAAGCATACGTGTAGTCGCCTGTTACGACAAGCATACATGTAGTCGCCTGTTACGGCAAGCATACATGTAGTCTCCTGTAACGAGAAGCATAATTGTAGTCGCCTGTTACGGGAAGCATACGTGTAGTCGCCTGTTACAGCAAGTATACATGTAGTCGCCTGTTACGACAAGCATACATGTAGTCGCCTGTTACCACGGCATACATGTAGTCGCCTGTTACCACGGCATACATGTAGTCCACTCTTACGACAGGCATACATGTAGTCGCCTGTTACGACAAGAACATGTAGTCGCCTGTTACGGCAAGCATACATGTAGTCCCCTCTTACGACAGGCATACATGTAGTCGCCTGTTACGACAAGCATGCATGTAGTCGCCTGTTTCCAGGGCATACATGTAGTCGTCTGTTACGACAGGCATACATGTAGTCGCCTGTTACCACGGGCATACATGTAGTCGTCTGTTACAGCAAGCATACATGTAGTCCCCTCTTACGACAGGCATACATGTAGTCGCCTGTTACGACAAGCATGCATGTAGTCGCCTGTTACGACAGGCATACATGTAGTCGGCTGTTACGACAGGCATACATGTAGTCGCCTGTTACCACAGGCATACATGTAGTCGTCTGTTACAGCAAGCATACATGTAGTCGCCTGTTACGACAGGCATACTGATAGTCGCCTGTTACTGCAGGCATACATGTAGTCGCCTGTTACGGCAAGCATACATGTAGTCGCCTGTTACGACAGGCATACATGTAGTCGCCTGTTACGGCAAGCATACATGTCGTCGCCTGTTACAGCAAGTATACATGTAGTCGCCTGTTACGGCAAGCATACATGTAGTCGCCTGTTACGGCAAGCATACATGTAGTCGCCTCTTACGACAGGCATACTTATAGTCGCCTGTTACGACAAGCATACATGTAGTCGCCTGTTACGACAGGTATACTTGTAGTCGCCTGTTACGACAGGCATACATGTAGTCGCCTGTTACGGCAAGCATACATGTAGTCGCCTGTTACGGCAAGCATACATGTAGTCGCCTCTTACGACAGGCATACTTATAGTCGCCTCTTACGACAAGCATACGTGTAGTCGCCTGTTACGACAGGTATACTTGTAGTCGCCTGTTACGACAGGCATACATGTAGTCGCCTGTTACGGCAAGCATACATGTAGTCGCCTGTTTCGGCAAGAAAACATGTAGTCGCCTGTTACGGGAAGCATACGTGTAGTCGCCTGTTACGACAAGCATACATGTAGTCGCCTGTTACGGCAAGCATACATGTAGTCTCCTGTATCGAGAAGCATAATTGTAGGCGCCTGTTACGGGAAGCATACGTGTAGTCGCCTGTTACGGCAAGCATACATGTAGTCGCCTGTTACGGCAAGCATACATGTAGTCGCCTGTTACGGTAAGCATACATGTAGTCGCCTGTTACGACAGGCATACATGTAGTTGCCTGTTACGACAAGCATACATGTAGTTGCCTGTTACGACAAGCATACATGTAGTCGCCTGTTACGGCAAGCATACATGTAGTCGCCTGTTACGGCAAGCATTGGTTGCCGAAGACCTATTCAGACTCGGATCTTCATGGGTGTGGTGAAAAATTAAAAAAAAGAGTATGCTCGTTTCGTCAGGTTGGATAGCTGTTCGAAAAGACATTTTGGATCAGTGACATGGCAAATAAATTTTGGTTGAAACAGAAACAGAAACAAAAAAACGACAAACGTCATTGTTTTTGTGTATTGTTTCAGAGAGATAACTATGCGTGTAGATTACCCATAGTCATATATATATTGATCAAACTCATTAAAATATGATACACCACAGTCGGTCGCCTCAGGTACATGGAACTTGTCGTTATAGTTCCTTCTCGAGATTCAGGAGTCATATATACTGGTCTGAATGCATAGAAGTTAGAAGCCAAGACGCTGATTGTCTCAAGGTCACTTGACGGGACCTCTTATGGACATATCCTCAGGTCTTGATGCAAGGTTAAAAAAACATGCACTTTAACGTTGTTATTTTCTAACATTGTGACAACGTTGTAGCAACGTTATTTTGTTTGCTGAAGAAGAACGTTGCCTCAAGTGATCCCTGAGCGAACACTAGCCGGCCGATGTAAATGAACGCTGCGTGAGGGCTGGAGCCAATTAACTGTCAGCTGTTTTTAAAAACTATTTTGTTTCATTTGTTTTCACCTTGATCTGGAATTTTAGTTTGTAAAAATGAAAACCGACACAGAACACAAATATTCCTTTGATGGTACTCCCTCGCCCGGAAATGACCTGTGTCGTATCCGAATGATGAATGAAAAAAATATTTACGTTTTACATCGTATAAGCAATGTTAGAGCTATTCGCTGCTTATCGTATCCGAGCAAAATATATGATTTCAATTAGGCTGTTCGCGGATGATAAATGGACGTAATTATATCAATCATATTTCAGCTTATAGGCAGTCCCACAGTGTGTATAACAGTGTGTGGGTTGGAGTAAGGAAGAACACAATGGATGGTCTTTTCTACTGGGCTAGCAGCAACGTCCTCGGCAGCACCGTTACGTGGGCATCTGGGCACCCTTCATCGAGAACCACTTGGCAATGCGGATACACATCCCCATTCGAAAATTTTGTGATGAGAACCTACCTGTGTAGTCATTCTCTTGCCTTTATCTGTGAAACATCAGGACAATGATTGTCGCTGACGCTGGTGTTTTTCGCATCCAAACTCTAAACTCTATGAACTTTACATGTCAATTACATAGCATACAATGTACAAACATAACAACTGTTATCAGTTCATAACTGCTCCAAGAAAATCCGTACACCACTGAATAATCTTAAAGCAAAACGTGGCAATGCAGGGAAAACATAGTTATAGATATTTGTATAACGACACACACTAAACGAATCATCAATCACGCATAATGATGTGGGTATATTTAAGGGTGGACTTGGAACAAACTTATCGGCAGTCCCAGCAAGGACTATTCAAGTGGTCTAAAATAAACTGTGTGGGTCTTATTACCCAAATTTCATGAAGATCAATCATGCAATTCGTGACTACCATCATGAAACAAATATTTCACAAATTAAACAAGATTTCACACAAGCATCGTTAAGACTTAAATTGGGAACCGGTTGGCATGGTATGATCGGTATTAAATCGTTGATATTCGGTAATAGTTGTGCAATTCGTCCAGTATGTAAAACGTACACATCAAGTTGGACAGGTACACTTTCTAAAACCAAATCAACTATGCATTCCAAAACAACATCCGTGGCTATTAAAAAATAAGTAGTAATTCGCTTTTGAAAGTTATACATTAGAAACATAGCAGGTATATATAATACATCGAAATATCCAAGTGTATACTCTTAACATTTTTAATTTGGGTTATTAATTTATTATTATATTTATTATAGTAAATTATTGTTCTGAGAAGTGTTCAGTAGCACTGGCCATGATGGGTAGCCTATAGTACATTCTTTTCCACAATATTTATAACATATTTAGCAGAGTAAATTTCATCATGTCGATAATGGCATCTGGAATTAATTTGATCGTAAAGAAAACTAAACGTCAGTGTGTACCTCTCATAATCATGATAAGAAGGATACTGTGAAAACCATCTTGTTCCCTATTTCTGTTTCCTATTTCAGTCAGACCAAAGTCTTAATCAAATGATGGGGTCATTGAACTTGGTTTAACGCCGCTTTGAACAATATGTCTGTGCCATAACGGTGACGAACTAATGTTGTTGAACCACGTGGAAGGGTTGAGGTCCTCGACGTTTACAGTTTTGTTGCAACTGAGAAAAACAGAGGTTGTTGACATGTCAAGAATCGTACTGAACAATCAGGCATAATGTTTTGAACTCTGCACAGAGAATTGTGGCGCATTAACCGAGCCCCCCCCCCCACACACACACACATCGTCAATAATACTGTGAATAAATAAAAATAATTACCACTGCATGTTATATACAGTATCCACTCTGACCTATTCCATCTGACGTACCATTGCATGTCAGATACAGTATCCACTGTTCTCACCTATTTTATATATATATGACGTACCATTGCATGTCAGATACAATATTCACTGTTCTCACATATTTTATATGACGTGCCATTGCATGTTAGATACAATATTCACTGTTCTCACCTATTCTATGACGTACCATTGCATGTTAGATACAGTATCCACTGTTCTCACCTATTCTAAATGATGTACCATTGCATGTTAGATACACCATCCACTGTTCTCACCTATTTTATATATATATGACGTACCATTGCATGTCAGATACAATATTCACTGTTCTCACATATTTTATATGACGTGCCATTGCATGTTGGATACAATATTCACTGTTCTCACCTATTCTATGACGTACCATTGCATGTTAGATACAGTATCCACTGTTCTCACCTATTCTATGACGTACCATTGCATGTTAGATACAGTATCCACTGTTCTCACCTATTCTATATGATGTACCATTGCATGTCAGATACAATATTCTCTGTTTTCACCTATTCTATATGACGTACCATTGCATGTTAGATACACCATCCACTGTTCTCACCTTTTCTGTATGGCGTACACATTGTACACAATAACGTCTGTTATCACCTATGTTAGATACAATATCCCCTGACCTCAACAAGTCTATATTACGTACCACACCGTATGTTAGAGACAGTATCCACTGTTCTTACTTGGTGTTTGTGACGTACTATTGTATGTTAGAGACAAAATCCACTGTTATCAACAAGTCAATATGACGTACACTATCCACTGTTACTTACTTGGTGTACATGAGGTACCACCTTATGTTAAATACAATATTCATTGTTCTTACTTTGTGAATAAAACGTTCCATTGTATGTTAGGGACAATATTCACTGTTATCAACAAGTGAGTAAGTGAGTGAGTGAGTATGGTTTTACGCCGCTTTTAGCAATATTCCAACTATATCACGGCGGGAGACACCAGAAATGGGCTTCACATATTGTGCCCACGTCGGGAATCGAACCCGGCTCTTCGGCGTGACGAGTTAACGCTTTAACCACTAGGCTACCCGACCGCCCTTCGTTATCAACAAGTCTATATGACGTTCCACCGTATGTAGATACAATATCAACTGTTCTTATTTGGTGTTTATGACGTACCCCCGTGTGTAAAATACAATATTCACTGTTCCTACTTGATGTGTGTGACGTTCCATTGTATGTTAGAGACAACATTCACTGTTATCAACAACTCTATATGACGTACCACCGTATGCAGATACAATATCCACTGTTCTTACTTGGTGTATATGACGTACCCCCGTGTGTAAAATACAATATTCACTGTTCTTACTTGATGTGTGTGACGTTCCATTGTATGTTAGAGACAACATTCACTGTTATCAACAACTCTATATGACGTACCACCGTATGTAGATACAATATCTACTGTTCTTACTTGGTGTATATGACGTACCCCCGTGTGTAAAATACAATATTCACTGTTCTTACTTGATGTGTGTGACGTTCCATTGTATGTTAGAGACAACATTCACTGTTATCAACAACTCTATATGACGTACCACCGTTTATAAGATACAATATCCACTGTTCTTACTTGGTGTATATGACGTACCCCCGTGTGTAAAATACAATATTCACTGTTCTTACTTGATGTGTGTGACGTTCCATTGTATGTTAGAGACAACATTCACTGTTATCAACAACTCTATATGACGTACCACCGTATATAAGATACACTATCCACTGTTCTTACATGGTGTATTTGACCGTATGTTGGACACAATATTCTGGACCCGCACACCAAGCTCCTCAAGACCAAGAGTGGCTCTGGTGCACAACGCTTGTCTGAGCGGGAGTCCTGGATTCTGGAGCGGTTCAAGTTCCGGAGTTTGCTCTAGCGCACCAAGGCTGCGCCCATGAAAAATGTAAGAATACTACAGTTTGATTTCAATTTCATGGCAATGAAATAATTTTTGCATTCATTTACTTGTGATTTTCAATAATTTATGACAATCAAATGTGCATTATTGCATTAATGTTTGCCTTCATTTTACTTATGATGTTCTACATTTGTCTTTGCAGTTGAAGGTGACTTCGAATCTGCTGCGGCTGCCTGTGCTGAGGCTGGAGCTGCCGCCGTGAAGCTTGACTACCCTACCTCTACCTCTTCAGCGGCGTCCCCAGGAAGACCCAGACACACCCCTCCTATCCACCCTAAGGAGAGCGTCCAGCAGCAGCACTGGGCCTCTCCGTCAAGCCCACTACTCGAAATACCTTCGCTAACTACGTCAAGGACAGTCTTCTCCGCATGTGTGACAAGAAGTACAAGACAGCAAGGAGGGACATCAACAAGGTACTGTCTGACCTCATGCTGGTGGACAATTGATGAGGAGTACATGGAGATGCCGCCCTTGAGGCGCATCCTGGCAAACCCCAACATCCCTCAGCCAGTGCGGCCATGTGCAACACCTGAGTTTAGCCCTGCCTCATCCCCATCCCCGCCTGAGCAGTACCAGCCAAGGCCTGCCATGTGGAAACACCAGCGACCATCTTCGTCAGTGTGGGACTCCCAGACTGCGGATTACGTGGAGAGGTACTTGCAGCAGACCCACCAGGACCAGTGCTTCCTCTGACCCACACTATCCTGTAGCCACGACAGTGTCCACAGCAGCCATCCTCCACCCTGTACTCTTTGCAGCCACAGGAGCAGCAGCCCCTCCCCTTCTTGGATGGTAACATGAACTTGGGAAACCATTAAACCTTTCGACAGTGTTGGACACCAGCCTCCCGAGGGATGATGAAGGTCCAATGAACACTCCATCACCACAACCACCACAAGACCACTAGAATAGCGACTGTGTATTTTGCCATGCGATTGATGGGTCATTAATTGTACCAACTATTGTCATAATAAAAGATTTCTGTATAATCTGTATGTAAAAATGAAGTGTTGTTTCGTATAATGATAACATGAAAAACAGTAAAGTACTTACACTCATTGGCACTGAACCGCCTGTAGAGTTGGCCCAATGTTTGATCAGGTACCACTTCTTCTTCCCGTCCTTGCTGGAGGCGATGGAGGTGGCCATGACACGGTTGTCCTGTAGGTTTCTGCCCTGGCTCCACTCTCCTGGGATGACGTCTCTGTTGGCATCTTCCAAGGGTCTAGCTGCTGGTTCTGCAGTGATTGATACCTCATTCTCATCAAGGGACGGAGAACAATGCATGACTTCACGATGATCTTGACGGTGGATGGATGGCGCTGCATTGTGGTCAGCAAAACCTGGAAGCGGTTTGCCAGAATTTCAAATGCATTTTCAACAACCCTCCTGGCTCGGGACAGTCTGTAATTGAAGACAACACAAGGTGTATGTCTTTATCGTCTGTTTCCGTAGGCCAAATGCATCTTCACCGACGAAGAAGTATGGCACATCCTTGTAGGCATTAGGAAGAGGATCTGGAGTAGGGAAGCCAATGGTTCCATCTTCAGCCATTTGTTTGAGTTCAGACTCGTTGTAGATCTGGGCGTCAGACGAGGCTCCGGGACTAACCACATCTGCCCAGAGGAATTTGTAGTCCGCATCTACCATTGCCATGAGCACGATGGAGTAGAATTCCTTGTTATTGTAGTATACGGAACCACTCTTTTGAGGAGCCTTGCAGGCAACATGATTGCTATCAAGGGAACCACAGGTATGTTGGAAGTTCCACTTCTCCATGAACTGGTCTGAGATCTCATACCAGCCTTCAGGGGTTGTGGGGCAGGTCATCGCCTCGTCAAGGTACTCCTCAATGATGGCTTGGCAGACTTCTCTCACGGCCAATGACTGGGTGTTGTGGGGTACCCTCCAACCAAACTTCAAGGCCGTGTACATGGTCCCAGAGGCGCTATGGCACAGAGTGATGTTTGGTGATCCTTGGCCCAACTCGCTGTACCAGCTCGTCGTACATCTCTGGGGACATTCTGAGGAAGTTCTTGAAGGCCCTCTGGTCCTCTCTGTGGTGCTTCACCAGCAGCTGGTCATACATCCCATTATTTGCAGTGCATCATCTTTATGTACGCGGTTGTTTTTTAAATAATGTAGCTGACGGTCATACTGTGACGCTAAATTCTCGATGTCTCCATATATTCCAGGATATGTTTTCTTAAATTATAAAAAAAACACAGAGTGGGACACTGGTCGACGTTTATGTCTTTGGTGGCACATTAAACGACAACAGTTTATATAAGACATTAATATAAGACATTACCTCGGAATTCATTATCGATAGTATTAAGTTTCTTCAAACCAATAATACTTTTAATTTTATGGTTCTCATTTAAAAAAAATTTAGAGGCACAGTAATCTGGACAAAATAAAGGCCTCTTCTTTTACGACTCTAGTACTCGGTTATTTGAAGGAAACATTGTACTCAAAAATTGCAAAAAGATCGGCATTGCATTTTCACAGGTTTTTCAAGACAAATAGAAAAGACTTTTAGATGATTGTTCGTTCTTTGGAATAAGAATGAAGACGATTTACAGTGTTTGATAGTGATTTTACAGACACTCCATCCAAGCTTAAGCCTTACTTTAGAGATGAGCGATAAATCTATCGTTTCTAGATGTAATGGTTACAATTTCAAATAATATAATTGAAACAAATGTATATTACAAACAAACCGATTCCAAACAATACCTCAATTACAATTCCTATCACCCCATATACTAAAAACAGTGTCCCTTACTCATTAGCACGTAGAATCTGCGCGATAGTATCTAATTATGATCGTTCACAATATAGACTTAATGAACTGAGGGAGTCGCTATCAGAAAAAAACTACCCTAGAAAAATAGTAGAAGACACAATAAACAAGGCTAAATCACAACACCATGGGGATCATTTAGAATCTAAAGATAAACCGAACGAGAGTGTTCTCCCTTTTGTTACAACCTTTAATCCCCATAACCCGGAAACATTTGGAAATTATCGGGAGACACTGTATTCTTTAAATAAGTGTAAAGAACCAAAACAAAAAATGTCACTAAATAAACTTATTAAAAAAAAGACAGAGTTATAAACTTAAACATATTCTTACTAGGGCTATTTTCTCTAAAGGACGATGTGACGTTAAATCTTAACTCACTCAATTCTCTAAAGGAAAACAAAAATGTAAAACAGTACAAAAGTGTAACAGACCCAATTGTGGTATTTGCCTTCATGTTTTACAACGGAATAGCTTTCTAGGTCCGTGAAAATATGAATTGTGCTTCAAAACCTTGATTTATGTCATACAATTTTGCTGGATGCAAAGCCGAATACATTGCACAGACAGGGGACAGCCTGAGAACGAGAGTGAAGGTCCACCGACAGCAAATAAGGTACCCCTTGACGGTGTATCCCACTCAGTCAACACATTGATCAATGTGCCGGGAATAAAGCACCAAATTTTGTGATATTCCAGTTTTACAAATGTGAAAATGATGCACTGAGAACGATAAAAGATAGTTATAATATTCATACTTACAAACAAATTATTGTACCTTTTTCTTCTACTACAAATCTTATTACTGTATTTCAGTATGTGTCGTACGCCTGTCATAAGTCCTATTGTGACGTCACAATGTTAGATTCCATTATGACGCCATACTGTGTAAATGGGCACTGTGACGTCAAAACAGCGTATAACTGTACTTGGTATAACTGTACACTTGAAAATCACATTCGTGAAACTGGTTGAGCAAATTATACAGCTCATCTTTGGACTTTTGTATCTATCTAAGAAAGGATTTCGAAAGAAGACACACATGTTTTATCGTAAAGGTCATGTGGTGACATGATGGTGCTGTTCCAAATGGAGAATTCCAAAGAAAGGCTCATTCTCAATTTCACAATACAACTTGTTAATACACTTGATCACTGGCTGATGACTTCGGAATTGGTTTGATAATGTCAAGCCCCCCACATAGATGGTGTACTTTCAGTATTTAAAACCGACCATTTATTATTCTTGGGGGTATCGGAGTCACAAAACTTTTTGGAGTGTTTCTTCCCTATCCACGAGTGTTTGTCTTTGTGGCCCATCATCAAACCGTTGGAGAAATGCATAGCGTGATATAAAATTTAAAGTTTTAAAAATTGTATTTTTTAGAATGAATCGTACATTTATATACTTATCCTATCTCAGACGCTATATGGAGCTTATATTTGACATGATCAATTTCTACCTCCACCATATTAAAGGGAAAATAAAACAAAGCGATTTTGTTTCAAATTCTATTATTCATATAGTTACTAATGTATTGACATAAAACATATACTTCCAACATCCAATACATTTGACCGCCCTAAAAGACAAAAACATTCGATATAGGAAAAGGGAGAGATGGATAAAATGAACAATGAACCAACGAATGGCGGCCTATTCAAATATGAAACAACGATGCCAGAGAAGTCAATCCAATGAACCCTTGTGTTTCAAAACCTCCAGTCTCGCTAAACAATATGTGATGGCATGAGTCTTTTCAACACAACTTTTTCCAAAATATGTCTATTACTGCATACCATTCGCACGCATTCCCTTCTAGAAGTAACCATGCGTTGATCCAATTATTCTTTTGAGTTCAATTGAAACACCGCTACCTTTTCCATAGTTCATTATAAGTCTATGCACACTACCGGTTCTTGGAAGGGCAATACATCCGTGGTCGCAAATGGAGAAATGATCTTGTGTTTTGATGGACCTGGTGGGACACTGGCAAGAAAGATGTCACAGTCTTGCACAATAATCTGTCAGACGACTGCTGAGACCTGTGATTAGAAGCACCACCTCGTCTGACAGATCGTTGAATGCAACCTTTTTATCATATTGTTGTTACTGCCTTACTGGTACTGATCTTTTCGACATGAGAAGTGCACTTCTTGATTGTTGCTGTTGGTACTGTGAAGGCCTTGTCTTGGCAATTCCTTTCTGTTCCCTTTCCATGCCTAAAAAACCCTGATCATCACATTGCGAATGACGTTGTTGAGATACGTTGTGTTCTTCGTCGCTACTATTTGTTTTTTTTAAAATCCTTGTCTTGGCATGTTCCTGTGCCCTTCCATGTCTCGTGGCTGCTCTCTTTGGGTTCCATGAAGTTGTAGAGCAACATTGTGTTCCCCTTCTTCTTCAGCAAAATTGCCAAGATTGATTGTTTGGGTTGCAACACTGTATGCAGGAATTATTTTTACAGTAGCATCATTGCCAAGCAAGGTTGGTTGGTTGGGTGGTTTGTTTTTTAACGCCGCACTCACCAATATTCAAGCTATATGACGGCGGTCCGTAAATTATCGATCTGGACCAGACAATCCAGTGATTGACATCATGAGCATCCATCCACGCAATTGGGATCGATGACATGCATCAACCAAGTCAGCGAGCCTGACCACCCGATCCCGTTCGTCGCCTTTTACGACAAGCATGCTAAGCAAGGAGTATAAGATAATATGAACATTAAACATATCTGAGACTGCTTGCAGTGTTGTGTGGTCTATGTAGGTACCTTCATCTAGCATACCGGATGTTGATTACAACATGAATTTCAAACTTGATTCTTTATTTTCGTTTCTTATGAACAAACACCAGATTGACTGTAACAGATAGAAAGAATTTCATTGAGTATGTGCCTTCTAAATTCCCTGACGTTAACACATTTACTTCATAATACAGCAGTAGTATACTAGGTAGGGCTTGTCTACTTTCACATAGCATGTACATTCGACAATAATGTAACTTAAGGCACAAACTTGGAAATACACAAAATATGTAATGATAAAAAAATGTGCAAAAACAATACATCAACTGCACTAGATAAACAGGAAGCTTAATATTTCATATGCCTTTCATAACAATACTTATGAAAAGAAGTTGAAGTCTAGTCCATATTTCCATAATCTAAGTCTAAATCAGCCATAAAACCTAAATTATGAAGAATTCAGTTTCTATGTATGGTAGAAATTAAGAAGATGCATTCACCAACAAATTCCAATCTATGAATTGTCAAATAAGTGAATAAATGTGTCTCACCATCACTTTAGACATCACAAAACATTCCTCGCACGACTTCCCCATGCATGGTGATTTGACCTCACCAGTCTGTGATTATCTTGCTTCTTTTTAAGGTTGACATAAACTTGGCACATACTCAAAAATGAAACATATCATTCAAAACCAGGTAATTAAAATACAAATCCTAACCGTTATGAATATTTTATATTGTATAATACTGTTGTCATATGCAAAGACAATTTGTAGAAGTACTATAAACCAGATTGTATACCTCCTTAACAAATTGAGCTATCATAAATGATAGGAAAATAAAATAAAGATTTGACCGTTACACCGGATATGTATGTATCCAAGTCTTTGCCCGCAAAAAGTTCCAAGGGGAATCCATCTGAAGTGTTGGGATGTTCTCGAAGTGTTCTAGACGATCTTAATAAACCAATTTTAGATAAAAGGTGTCACAATCCTGCAAACTGACAGTCGCCGTTCCTCGGATTGTCATAAACGATGACACCTTGTAATGTAATTGGCCTGTCCGTGTCCAATAATGGTATTTGATACTTTGCTCGATGATGCCCTGCGCTGTAAGCGATCTGCTTTCATTTTACCTCTACATCAATTGTGGTACTTGACAACATATCAACTGACATCCATTCAGACATGTCTTCTTTTCGTGTAATAGGATTTGTGAATGAAATCTTATACATAGATTTCAACTTGTGTGCAAAAACCCTTTCCTTTTAGGGGCCTTTTTGGAACCATAGCTGCATAAAACACCATCGAATACATTGAACACTGAGGTTGCAGTCTTTGTTGTCTTTGAATACTGAGTCTGTCGGTTTTGTTTGTCGCAACTTCAGCCCGATGGCTAGTCCGAGAAACGTACTTACTCTGCTTCAACATGTCCTTGGAGTTTGGCTCATTAATATCTACATTCACTACATCATCTTGAAATCATCTTTCGAAATGCACTTCAAAAGAACTCTGCCATCCTATACATTCTTTCTGTTCGTTATTCAGTGCTGAGGCAACGTATCTTCACTAATGTGATGCTCAGTTGACGCCCTTGGTGCCCACAGTTACAAAGTCATACAATTTCTTTTCAATTGTCTATGGGATC